AGAGCTACTATCCTGCAGCTTTTAGATGCATCCCTACTCCAACACAGCTGAATCAAATGGTTTGATTACCTCTTCAGCATGCCATCATGTTTGGCAAAGGCCTGATAACAAGCCAGTCATTTGATTCGGGTGTGTGGGAACAAGGATGCATCTAAAAGCTGCAGGACGGTAGCTCTCGAGGACCGGGATTGGGCACTGCTGGTCTAGCACAACACCTGGAGCACAGGGGGCAAAAGAATCGCATGAGTGCTGCTGTTTGACTGAGGAAGAATAAAGTAGTCGTGGTAAGCCAATCACATGACCACTTAAAGACAAAGCAACAAGGTGATATATACCAGTTTTTAAATTGTGTTGATAGGCCACGTAAAACCAGAGTCATGATAAACAATATATGCGGCGTTTTTTCCTGAATAGTTTCGTGACGTTCACCGTCTAACGACTGCACTAGCAAGCACTCTCTGCTTATGAGCAAAAAAACAGGGGAAGTTTTAGGAGTGATGGAGGGAGAGAGAGAGAGAGAGAGAGAGAGAAAGAGAGTGAGTGAGAAAGACAGCAGACAAAGAGAGTGAGCGAGTTTTGAGATGTGAGAGATTTGTGACGTTTAGCGTGTTTGGAGTGTGTAGTTAATGTGTTGTCTTGTGTAGTTAATGTGTTGTCTTGTGTAGTTAGTGTGTAGTGTTGTGGATAGTTTTGTGTTGTGTGTCAGAACAATGAGGCAGCTGCTGTCTCCAGGTAGAAACAAGAGTGATACACCTGCTGCTGTCAGACCTGCAGGTATCAGCCCATCATGTTCTCCTTTATAGTGGATAGAAATTATTTTTTTGGAGTGGCACAGAAAATTTGTGTGGCATCTTATTGAATGCAGAACAGCTGATTGTTCTGTAAATAGTCTGAAATGGTTATTTAAAAAAAAATCAAGGTAAAAGGTAAATGGATACAAATAACTGTTGTTTGCAAAACTTGTGCATAGGATTTTAAAATTGACAATTCATATTTTCATTTAAAGTTATGGTTAAAAATATGATTCATTAAACTTGTTTGTGGTTGTTACAGTAAAAATATAACTTTTTCTACTCTGATTTTATATTTTTTGTCTGATTTTAGATCAATTGTGTTAATACAGTATGTCAAAATGGAAACATAACTGTAAATTCAGACAAGTGAGGTTGTGCTGAAAAGGATGATACCAAACAAGGCAAAGTAAATAGTTTTTAAAGGTAAAATGTGGAGGGAAAATCAAAAGTAGTGAATGACTCTGTCCCGCTGCTGAGAAAATAACAAATAACAAATTTTTACAGTTTAGAGTAAAATATCAATCATGTATAGGGCTGCACGATTAATCGTTAGAAAATCGCGATCTCGATTCATACTTATGTGCGATCTCATTTCCAAATGACAACGATTAAAAAATAATAATAA